CTTTTATTTAGCAAGGATGATCATAAATACATTTATAAAGTTACACAATATTTCTATTTCAGATAAATGCTGTTCTTCAGATAAATGCTGGGACCTTCTTCTGAACTATTCATCAAAGAAACCTGAAAAATTTCTACTCAAAATAATAATAAATATTTTTTGAGCAGCAAATCAGAATATTAGAATCATTTATAACCCCAAAAAAGATTTAATTTTTTTTCCCCCCAATGTCAAATCATTGCATTGATACCCAAGGGAATTTAGGCATCACAAGAGTATGCACACTTTGAGATGACAGTTGAGGAGAAAGTAAAAAATTTGATAGAAACTCACAGGAAACACCATAAACTGTGAATATTTAAATATTTGCTGTAATCTAGCACTCTTAATGTAATGTTAGTGCTACATAAAGGCAAATTCAAAACCAGGAAATGAGTGACCACAATAAAGACATACAGATAAATACAATTTGAAAAAAATTTGATGACTAACTTAAGACCAGTCTAAGCAGTTTATGTAACCAGCCAGAGTCAACAATTTTGGTTCAGAAAAATGAATGAGGCATGACTGCAGTTTTTAGACCAAAGGTTTATTTTCAATACAAAATACTTTACAAAACCTTACAAAAAAAACATTAGAAAATATAAAAAAATTGAGATGATGCTGGAAATAGTATCAAAAGATGGAAAACCTGGCTGTTAACAGACAGTTTCGAGACAACAGATTGCATTGGTACCATGTATAAATCATTAGGCTCTATGGCTTTCAATTCTGAGACCTTATTGCTATTCAATGTAAACTGCATTTGGACCAACTTAAGATTTGCATTTGCAAAGGAGGCAAAATGATACAACAACCTGAACAGAAAATGTATTTAGAAAGAGGGGGAAAATGAAAACAAATGAAATTAAATATTTTTTTATTAGTGCGTTCAATTGTGTGAAGACATTCTCTGAAAGTTGAGTTTGCCTCCCTAACAGCCGGTCAAAAGAAACAAAAGCCAAATAGAACCAAACTTGTTTAAAGCCTCAGAAAATAACATAGAAGTAAACAAAAAGCAAACAAATAAGACTGAAACTGTTGCCTACAGAGAAGCTTCCTCAAAACAAGAGGACTAGTAACCAAAATACTTCTCATATACAGGTAAAGTACGCAATATGCAAATAAAATATCAAAAGCCTCTTTGTAGATCAATAATTGATTCACAAGTATTCAAGCATTTTCCAGGTTTCCATTTAGTTCATTACAAACATACACTAATTGTGGTCCACTA